GGGGAGGGGGCTGCTCTGACACCGCGGGTGAGTGGAAGGGCACGGGTGGCTGGGGACGGAGCGAGGCGGAGGAGCCCAGCGAAGTGAAACGCAGGATTTTATGGTCGGTTTTGCTCTGGTTTTATTGCCTAAACCCGAGGGGCAGCTCACCTACACGCCTCGGCCCCGGCTGTCCCCAGCCGCCTGCCCCCTTGCTCCCGCCGCGGCTCGCCCGCCCGTGGAGCTCTGGCTTCTGCTTGGGTTCATCTTTTTTTTTCTGGTTGAGCTGTGTAGCCGGTCTCCCAGCAGCTGTGCATGCGTATAATTAACTGCATAAAATCCCTTAACAAATAGCTCTTGCAGAATGGTTCCTAAATGTGGTTTCTATAGATGGAATAGTTATAACTTCTCATTGCAGCTCTTTTTTAATTTGCTGTTCCACATACAATGTAATTATCATATAAATTGCTGACGATATTAATACCATTTTTAATAGTGTATATTCCTGGGATTTAAGCCTTTTACTCTCACACTGTGTCTTTTTGCCTTTTTTAACAAGGCTTGGTCTGTTCATACAATGGATATGCACATCAGGAAGATGGCACGGTTGTTGGACAATGATAAGCTTTTGGAAAAAGTTGGGTAAGGATACTGTTACCAAATCTTGTTGGGACTTTGTAAATAGATATAGGGCAAATAACTGTAGCTTGTATAAACTATGTACTGTGTCCCTTCAAAAGATTTATCATCTATCAGATGAATGTGTAAATAAATGCCCAGATAGAAACCAGTTCCTACAGAAACAACTTCTGAAGACTTTCTGACGATACAGGAGTATTAGGGGTAACAAAGTCATCCCATAAAATTCATTGTCTTGTAGGGTGACCGCAAAATCCAGTCTACAGCATGATCATCTGCCATGTCAAGATTTTACTATGTCTCATCTAGGACCAGATAATGGATTGCTGGTAATGCATGTCAACAAGATCTGTTGGTAGGCGAGTTTTCCTGCTAAATGGAGCATCTAGAAAAGTAACACATACCCACTATAAATACAGCGTGGTATGTTTCCTTACATGTGTTTGGATATACACACAGAAAATTATCTTGATAGATATAATCACTAAAGTCATGAAACTACGTATAGTTTCTCTCCAGAGATGAATCTGTCTGAGAACAAATCGGGCTAAACAGTAAAGGTAGATCAACTGTTGATACTGCATTTTTCTTTAGAAAAGCAGAAGACAATATATACCCCTTCAAACTCTGTGAGGTGGGTTTTGGAGATGCTTAATTTTTCTTCCTCTCTGGTAAATCACTGGGGTATCTCTCTTATTTTTTTTACTAAATTCTCTTATTTCTTGTCTTCCTTCGCTTTCCTTCCCCTTCCTTTAGCTCATAATTTGAGGGCATTCTGAAACCTTCTTTTCCTTTGCATCCCACGTCCAAAAGAGTATGCCAGTACCTAAAATTATGCCGTTCTTGGGTATGTGCTGCCTACCAGCAGCCATCCTTAGGACTTATATTTTTGTCACATTTGAACAGCACATTTCATTTCTCCTAATGCATTTAATTTTTTCTTATTTGATATATAGAGAGTACAAATGAAGAAAATGCCGTCTAAAAAGGTGCAAACCACAGAAGAATGGCTAAGAAACTACAGTTTAGAATCCTTGCAATTAACGTTAGAGCATCTGATAAATGAAGGCAATATTATTTTGTAAGTGCAACGCTGCCCTTTCTTTAGTCAGTCCTAATTTGTGTGCATCTCTGATGCTAATTGTGCATAGTGTTCCAGGAATTCAGGAAATGGTGTTGAAGAGATGGAGTTTACAGAAGAGACCGTTACCGATTTTGAGTCCAGACTTTCTGAGTAAGTATCCATCTTGTTTATGATTTTGATGTGTAACTGATTCTATATCCCCATCCCCCATGATTGAAGGTACTGCCTTAAATCTTAATTTGTTATCTCTGGGAACTTCAGAGTATCTCAGCATTAAATTCTTACTGCTG